TACGCCAGGGACCCACGCCCAGGGGAATACGCACATTTAGCGAGCAAGGATATTTCTGCCCCGCCGGGCAAATTGAGGCTAGTACTCACGAGCGCCGAGGAGGTGAGGAAGGTCCATGCAGCCCCCCATGGGCAGACGCTGCAGGTAGGGCAAGATTTGGTGGGCATCGAGGTCGGGAACGACGTGCTGGACAGCCGGGCGGCGCCGGTAAACAGCATGCGGCGGCGGGCTTAGGCGCCCCCCCTCGTCGCCAAGCACAGGGGCACATGCACGACGGAAGTCGTTTTTTCACAGCCGATGGCACTGATGGATGGGTACTCGAAGTTGTCATTAGTCTCTGTGTCGGCGCCGCGGTGCCGAGGCGACGTGGCCAGAGACGTGCTCACCCATACGTGCATGAGGGCAGTTCGAATTCACATCACACGCGGCTTTCTACTGCTACTTCAAATGTACTGTTCTGGGAGGTTGACGGTGAAGACCAGCTACTGCCAGCGCTGCCAGCGTTCTACTTTCGGGAGGCCGATATCGTTCCGATGGGCCCTACCAACGGCGGCAATGACGTACCGATCAGCATTTACCGTCGTCAACGACTTCTGCGAGCACTGGGACATCTACCTCGGAATCGCATTCTGCCCCCAGCTCGTTCTGTTCCGCGTGCTGTTCCAGCTTCGGACGTTCACCGGCGAGGGCAGCATCGAGGCGACTTCGCGTGTATCACCTGGAACGCTCAAGCTTTCCTCGCGCAGGGCGATGCCAGGCACGCCGCTAAAGCACGATACGCCGAGAGTCTCATGGCAAGAGGCGATGTGTTGTTGATCACGGAAGCTCATCGCACAGCTGGAGGTCATCAAGTGTGGCGCCCGCCTATGGGTTGCTCTGCTTGGTGGTCGGCCGGGCCCACGACAGGGCACGCTGGCATTGGCGCCATCGCCAAAAACACCTTTCTGGAGAAGTTCGACCAGCCCCCGCACTGGACCGTCATATGGCCCGGCCGAGCCGGCAAGCTCTTTCTGCGTGGGTGGGAGGGTGCATTGGACATCATAGTTTTGTATTTCCACACGGGTTCAGAACTTTCGGAGTTGGACTTGCACGGCGCGCATCCTTCGTGTCGGGCTTCGTGCACTTCTTTTCCAGCCCTGCGGAGGCACATGCGTGACCGGGTAGGGCAAGCCATCGCCCGGCCAGACATTGCACTGACTGTGATGGGAGGTGATTTTAATTGGGTTACGAAGGGCACCGACAGGCGAGCACTTTCAACAGGCGTCGCATCTGGCTACAGGGACCAGCGGGAGGAGGCCCACTTCCAGGACACCATCAGCCAACCGTTCCGTTTGAATGAAATGCATCAGGCGGAGATGACGCATGCCTCGGGCAGCGCGCGCTCACGGCTGGACAGATTAGACTGCAATCAACACGTCGCCGAACAGCTGGGCCGCGAGATTCGAGCGGCGCCTTTGGAATGGAAGCCCAATCTTTCGAGTCACAGGGCAGCGTTTCTCTCGCGGCGTTCTCCTCAACGACTGTTGCCTCGGGATCGCGGTTTGCCGAAAGAAGTGATTGAGCACCCCGACTTTGCTCGTCGGACCGCTCTGTCATACGGCGTCAAACGGCGGGACGAGCCAATGGCGTCTAGATTGCGGCGTCTCTTGCTGCTCAAGTCCGCCATGAAGGAGGTCGCGGAGGGCATATTCAAGCACGGCGCCAAGCTGGAGGCCGTCACGACACTGGAAGACCGCCTGGGCATCACCATGAAATTCCTGCGGGCGTCGGAGCAGGGTTCGCTTGGGGAGATATCCAGATGTCTCGAGTGGTATCCGAAGCTGTGCGATTTGGTTGATAATCCTTACGATATTGGTGGCAATGCTACAACCCGGCTCCGCGGAGTCCGCGAGCACGCGGTGGAGCTCGCCAGGGGCCACGCTTTGGACGAACTTGGGCGGGTTAGCGAGGCGGCAAAGACGGGCGACCCGACTCGGGCCGCGCAGGCCAAGCAGAAGTATGTTAGGCTACTGTTTCGCCTGGCGCCGGGGCGGGGCAGCGTGGTCAAGGCCATCCGTGGGCGCGACGGCGGCCACCCGACGAACGCGGGTGACATGGCGGAGGCGCTGCGCGTGCACTGGGAGGACGTCTTCCGGGCGCGGGGGGTCCACGACGACCGCCTGCAGGAGTGGCTCCGGGAGGATGCTGCAGACAGGGAGGCCCGCGGCCCCTCGCACGATGCCCTGAGAAGCCTTCGGCTCCGTAAGAGTCACATCAGGGAAGCTACCAAGCTCTCCAGTGACTCTTCTCCGGGGCCCGACGGCGCCCCATATGCGGCGTGGCGTCGGCTTGGCAACCTGGCGTGCGACACGTTGCACGATGCTTTCGTCGAGTTGTCCAGCGAGGAGGGCGAGGACATCATGCTCCGGGACTACCCCGACTTCAATGAAAGCTTGCTGATATTCCTTCCAAAGAAAGCCGTGGACCAGACAGCAGACGGGACCGAGGTATTTGAGCCTTCCGGAGTGCGCCCTCTCAACGTCACCAACGCAGACAACCGGCTACTCGCAAGCGCGGGCCGGCCGGTTCTGGAGCCGGTGCTCGGGCCGCTCATCACGGAGGACCAAAGAGGCTTCATCACTGGGAGATCAATGCTTGCAAATTTGATCGACGTCGACGAGGCGATGCTCCGCGAGGCCGCGCGAGCCGAGGGGGCGTACGCCGTGTTCTTCGACTTTGCGGCGGCGTTCCCGTCCATCGAACACGCTCTGTTGCATGAGTTCTTCCAGAGCTTGGGATGGCCGCAATGGTTGCGAAGTTTCATTAAGTGCTTATATCGCAACAACTTCTGCCTGATATCGCTCGGAGGCACAAGACAGGCTGGATTCGGGATCGCGAGGGGGATCCGACAGGGGTGCCCGCTGTCACCGCTTCTGTTTGCGGCTGCCTCTGACCTCATGCTGCGCAGATTGGCACGTCGTTTTCCTCGAGCGCGCTCCCGCGCGTGGGCGGACGACTTGGCAATGGTTTTACCTGACGGGGCCGCCCACTTGGCGGCGCTGCTCACGTTCTTCGACGATTTTGCGCTGGTGAGCGGGCTGCACTTAAACATCCCGAAGACAGTGTTGGCCCGCTTGCCTCAAAGAGTTCAAGGAGCTGGGATTCCCGGACGAGCTAAAAGACGTCGCTTCCGCCGCGCTGGCGGCCAAAGCCAGAGTCGTCCGATTCGAGGCAGCAGGTGGCTTGTGCGTTCACGAGAGGGCCGCAGCATTGAGAACCTTCGCGCAATCATCTGGGGACGCCAGAAGCTTGGCGCGGACAGGGTGGCTGCTTGCAAGGATGGAGCAGGGTTTCCTATTTCAGTTACAGCGAGCAGATTGGGAAGTTGCGCGGCGGGCGAGATTGCGCGGAGAGGCGAACCTTCGGTTAGATGTGCGCGTGGGCTGGCAGAAGCGAGTGGCAGCCATGCTACCCAGTCGCCCGCGCCTGGCTGCACAAGCCCATCTCCGCAGCAAGCTCGACGAGTGGGACTTGCAAACTCTGCCTGGGCGTCGGCTGGCTAAGGTTGCCAAGGCGCTGAAGATTCTGTCCAATAGCTGTCAGCCCCGGGTGCTCGCAGCATACATCCGCATGCTGTGCAACGGGTGGTGCACCAAACGGCGCTTTCGGTCAGGCGGTTGCTGCAGGTTGGGGTGCGGGGCCCCAGAGGACAGCATCGGCCACATGGCGCGATGTCCGGTGGTGGCCACGTTGTTCCAGCAGCACCTACTTTTACCGCCCCCCACGGTGGCCGGGCATTTGGACGCCTTTTTCTGCATGGAGCCTGCTCGAGACGTCGCGCGTGGAGCTCTGCTGGGCGGCGAGGAGGGCTGCGTTCGGCAGCGCGGACTGGGAATTTATTCCGCACACAGGTTGCACAGCGCCTTGCGGACAGGCGCGGCGCAGCTGGACGATCTGAGCGGGACGTTTCGGGGATTCGTTCGCGAGGGCCGCCTCGGATCTGGGGCAAGCCCATGAGGGCGCGCGCTCGCCGCGCCGATTTTTGCAACGAGGCGCCGCACGGCCTCCGGCAGCGCAGCCTTTTCCGTGTCTCGATCCTCCTCTTCCTCCTCCTCCCCCTCCTCTCTTTCTCGGCGCGTGTGCTGGGCCAGGTAATTGTCACCGGCTATCTAGGGTAAGTTTTCGGCGGGGGGGGGGCGCGATTTGCCCGCCCGCCGCCGGGGGGTTCCTCGCCCCCCTCTTTTCCCCCCGCTTTTGTGGGTATCTCCGGCCGCAGTGTTGCATGTCATCCGCATGAGCGCGAATGTAGCACGCCCCTGAGCAGGCGGGGAGGGCAGGTGGTCATGCATGGTCTTTGCCGCCTCCAGGGCAACCATAAGGGTTGCTTTCAAAACGCGTTTCCTTCCTCCTGGCTCTCTTTGTCTTTCTCATCCCCCTAAATGGGCGAGTTACGGTGCGCGCCCTTGGGGCGTGCGCGCCGTGCCTTTAATTGGCGTTCGCGCCGGTTGCGTAGGAAGGGAGGCCATAACCGGGCCGCCCGGAATCGCCGGTCGCCCTCTCAGAGGAGCCGCCCCGTGCCCGCGCGCAGCGGTGTGCCTTCCTCCCCCTCCTCCTCCTCCTCCTCCCGCCCCCGTTTGCCGTAGCCATTTTGGCTCGAGGCCCCTCCGCCCCGTTGCAGCAGCAGCGGGGGGCTGCGCCGAGAGCGGGCAACCTTTCTTAAGGATTTCTGGCGCGTCGGGCGCCAGCGGACACCTTTCCATCACGAATTTCTTCTTTCTCCTTCCATGGTCCTCCGCGGCCGCGCTGGCCCTGCAGCCGCCGACGAGGACGCCGACGCCAAGAGCAGGAGCGGCGAACGTAGGTCTCATCGCGCTGGAGACCGAGACGACCTTCAAGAACAGGACCCCTGGAAACATCACCGAGCTGGAGCTGGACTTCCTCCTTCTGCTGTCTCGACAGCGGGCAGCTCGTCCAGTGGTGGTTCAGGTGGGGGCAGCGCGGACAGCATCATTAACAAGCACATGGAGCAGTTCCGAGGCCACATGGCCAAGTACATGGAGACCACCTTCCAGGACACGATGCACTCTGTACGTGAGGAGCTGGGAACGATGGTGGCAAAGCAGCTTCAGCCCCATGCGGAACGCCTCGACAGACAACAGGCCCAGCTTCGAGTGGTGCAAGCCAAGAATGAGGAGCTTAGCCAAGAGCAAGAGGCCCTCAAAGCATCAGTAAAACAATTACAGGACACCCTGGCCATCGCAGAGCAGCCGGCAGTTGCACCCATCGACGTTGCCAAGCTCATGGAATGGAACCGCACTGTTGACCCCTCAGTGTTCATCCTATCATGCGATGTGGCGGCGGCTCCGAATGACATATTCAGCGCACTTAACGAATGGTTGCAGGCGGCCAATGTGTCCAGGGACCAGCTGCGACTGGTCGGCGACACTCCGCAGAAGAAGTTCATCCTGCAGCGCATCGGAGGAGCCGCTGGTATTGCTCGAGCCAATGCGTTACAGACATCCCTCAAGTTACCTAATAATCAAGGCTGGCGCCAGTTTGAGGTGCTCGCTGTCAGCGGAGCTCGTATTGCCCTGCATGTCAACCCTGATAAGAACGCAAAAGACATTCGGAAAGAAGTTCAGACCAAGAAGTTGCTCGGACTGGTACGGACAGCTGCGGCATCTTCGACGGTGGCTGGCACGCGTTCTACTGGATGCTGGGCACGGAGACCGAAAGGACTGGTTTACATTGGGCAGACAGCAATCGTTTCGGTGCAGGTTCAGGGTCCTGAGGAAGCAACGAAATTGGCATGGGACACGCAGGCTGCAGAACGACTCGGCATCGATTGGCAAGCGGTCAGCACTCAATTCAAAGACCTATGGAAGGGAGTTGACACATCAGATTGGACGTGTTCCTAATCAGCGTTTCGCACCATGGGAACTCCAGGCATCCTCACACCATGTCGGCATTGTCTGCTGGAACGCCCACGGTCTTTTGTTGCGTCGGGACCCTGCGCGGCGACGTCGTAAAATTGCAATTGTGGCAGACCTACTTCGCAAACGCAATGTCGTTATCACTCAAGAGGTACATGTTTTTGAAATCTCACTGACCAACTACCTGAACCAGTTTAGCGTCAACTACAAGATTCATTTCTCGGGGACGGACCGTCCCAGTGCAGGCGTGGTGGCGATCCTGATTCCATGGTATGACGAGCGCACTGTGGCAGCTGCTGGAGCGTCGGGTCTTCCTCGGCTTCGCCATCGCACACTGGACAATGGAAGAGCCATCATGACGAGCATCGAGAACCCTGTGACAAAGGGCGAGTTTCGCATCATGAATATTCATAACTACGATATTTCGGAGGCTGGTCGCACAAAGATCAAACGTGCATGGAAAGAATATATTGCATGGTCGAAGCGCGACCCGTTGAGGCACACATTCATTGTTGGCGGCGACTTCAACATGACTGGTGTACCGACGGAGTCCATTCTGTATCCAATGCCGAAACAAGCGAGGAGATCTGAGGCAGGCCGTGCCAACCGCTCGGAGCCATTCTGGCGTGAGCTCTTCAATGACGCGGCGATGATTGAGGTTTGTTCCCCAATTCCGACCCACTACACTGCGGATAACAATACCCTGAGAACTATTGATCGTTTCTTTGTTTCTATAGAGTCGGCCTTCGCCATTGAGACTGAGATGGACGTGGAGGTGATCCAGGACGCCTTCACACTGAATGCCAAGCAGCTGAGCGACCATGCGATCATTAAACTTCGGATGGCTACCCGACGAACCCCTGCTTCGGCCCACCAGCGCATCCCATCATTCATCTTTAAGAGCGATGAGTATCGTACTGCCCTCGAGAGATGCATTGACGGATGCAACTATGAGCTTATGGAGCCGTACCGCCAGTGGGAGGTGATCAAAGAACTTATGACGGTGGCGGCGGAGACGGCACGCAATGAACTTTTGGCCAAGGAAGTCACAGGAGAAGGTGCTATCCCGAGAAGAGCTACCTTACTGGCCGTTGGCGCTGCAGCGCGCGCAGTGTGGCGCCAGGACGCGCGGCTGGCAAAGAAGCTGATCAACCACACGATCGTCGGCGAGAGGGAGTTCTACATCGAGGGGCGCGAGGTGAAGCTGAGACAGCCCGACACATTCCACAACCGGATGAAGGATGCGCAGGCTTCCATGTTGGACCGCGAAGCTGCTGCTCTCGAACGTCAGGGTGCAGGCCGAACTACCAAGCGGAATGCAGCGGTGATGGTACAGAGGGCCCTCCTTTGGAACAATACCAAGCGGATGCTGATCCTGGCTGGTGCGAGACAAGGCCAAATGACCAACAGAGCAGCGTCGGGGGCGCTGGCCGCGGAGGAGGTTGAGACTGTGCGAGATCCCAGCGCCATGGTAGAGGCTCTGAAGAAGCACTGGGAGCCCGCATTCACGGCCTCTCCTGTACGTGAAGACCTGAGCGGACCCTTCCTAGATCGCCACATGCCCGAGCTTGATAACACGACGCTGCTGATACCCACAGTCGACAACCTCCGCTTCGTCTTCAAGCGGGCGAAGGACTCAGCTCCTGGACCTGACCGACTACCAGCTCGTGCATGGCGTGGTCATCCGCAGCTGATCATGGCACTGCACAGGGTGATGGAAGAGATGGCCAGCGGGCGGCGGCCGCCTGAACACTTCAACGACTGCCTCCTGGCGTTTCTGCCCAAAGGCGACGAGCCCTCGGACCTCGTGGACTGCACGAGATCTCCTGAGTGCACGAGGCCCTTGACTTTAAAGAACTCAGACAGTAAAGGTGTGGCCGCTGCGGTCAACCTGTATCTAGCTGGCGTCGTCGCTAGAGATACCCATGGAGTCCAGAAAGGGTTCGTTGCTGGAAGGAAGTTTGGTGAGCACATAGTTGCTCTCGACGCCGAATGTCGGCGGGCGGGGCTCCTTCCCGCGGCGGCCGAAAGACTCCCTGGGTTCTTAAGTTTCGATGTGCGCGCTGCCTTCCCGAGCATGTCTCAACTTTTCCTCCGTCGTACGCTTGAGCGCGTTCGTCTCCCCCCCTCCTATTATAACATGCTCGACGGGTTGGCCCACGACACTCTCGGACACGCCCGTGTGGGTAAAAACGTAGAGCCACTTTTTGCTATCACGTCAGGCGTCCCCCAAGGGTGCCCACTGTCGGGGAGTCTCTGGGCGCTTGGTTTCGATCCCTGGGTGCGTTGTCTGGCCATGGCGTTTCCGTCGGAACAAGTGGGGGCCCTCGGGGGGTGCGCCGACGACATTGGTGCGGCCGCAATGACAATCCAGAGTGCAAAGCACATGCACCGCACTTTCGAGCAAGCTGAGCTGCTTGCCTCTCTCCAGCTCCAGCCCAGTAAGTGTTGTTTCGTCCCTCTGTGGGCCCCGTGTGATGCATCGACGATTTGCAGCGCGAGAGAGGCCCTCGCCGAAGTTGCTCCAGGGTGGGAGAATTTTAAAATCGTGGGCGCTGCGAAGTACCTCGGGGTTTGGCTCGGCCCTGAGGCTGACCTTCGGGCTCAATGGAAAGCTCCTGGCCAGAAGTGGTGGTCTCGGTGCCGAGAGATCGCGCTGTCTCGAGCACCCTCTGAAGCCTCCTGCCGTCTCTACCTTATGCTTGTTTTACCGTGCCTCTCGTAGGTTGCCCAATTTTTTCCTCCTGACCCGCACCTCCTCTCCAGGGAAAGCTTGGCGCTGCACAAGCTACTCCGCATCCCCCCCAACTCATTTCGCATCGACGAGCTCCTGGGACTTGGTCGGTGGGTGAAATCGGCCTCGCCATTGCCAGTAGAGCTCTCATGCATAGCCAACGCGCGGCGTGCGAGCCACATTACATTCGGAGGATGGAGGACTGTCGGTGAGAGGTTGAGGGCGGCGGCGGAGGATTCTGGTACGATCGTAGACCTAGTGCGACAGGAGTGGTCGCCAAGGTTTTGGGAGCGACGTGTGTCAATCGCCCAGTTTTTCATGGCTCTCGAGGAGCCACTGCAAGAATTCCCGTCGGGGTTTCAGGCGAGGGCGAAACGGTCCCTTGTCACGATGTCGCGAATCCCCCGACATACCTTTCGTCGTGCCATTGCCGGCGCTGCGGAGCCCCTGCAGGCTCCCACCGCAGCCGACGGCGAGAGTAGGCGGAAAAAGGCTGGCCCCAGCAGACAGACTTGCCTCCTTCGGTCTCTATGCGCTGACCTGTTCCCTGACTCCATTCCTAACCTTCTCGCCCGTCGTCTTCCGAAGTGGATATTTGATCAGCAATTGCCTGATGCGGCGGAGCTTGCCAGTCGTTGGTCGGCTCTCAAAGCTGTGCTTGCCTCCCGCCCCCCCTCTTTCGTTTGGCCCCATCTCAAGACTCTCGCGGGAGCGTGGGTCACTTCCTCGCGTGTCGGAATTTTGACTCCCAAAGGATGCCGATTCGGGTGCAGCGAAGAGGTCCTAGGGATCGAAGTTCGAGCACCAGACTCGATTCGCCACTATCTTCGCTGTTCTCGTCTTTCTCATCTGTGTTCCCTCCCTCGAGCGGTGATTCCACAGGACCCGCTGATCCGTCTTGGACTAGGACCAGCATCTGCTTATAATGTAGCTTGCGAATATGATCCCATCGATCTCTGTCGGTGTAATCATATCTGCGTCCTTGCGTTTCATATATATCATAAATTAAGCTGCGAGCTCACTGCGAACCCGCACCTCCAAGGAACCTACACCACGTCTTTCCGCGCCAGGCATGCAGCCCTGACGTGCATCGACACGAATGCGGCAGCGAGAGCTACCGCTAGGCAGCCGCCCCGTCGTGGTGCTCCTGCCCTTGCTGCCCTCGTGCCTCATCTTCCTCCAGGGCTGGAGGGCAGCGGAGTGTTTACCCCCAACTAGAGTGACCTTCCTGGGACGCACCTCAGAGGGCACGTGCGCTCCTCCCGCTCCCGTTTCACGGTATGTACAATTTAGCGCTATTATTGCGCCTTCGACTCGATAAAAAACCGAGGGCGGTTTATATCAGTATATCTCGCGGCACCGCGCCCTGACAGGTTTGTTTTGTTCCCCTCTCCCCCTCCTTGTCCTCCCCTTCCTCTCCCCCCCTCTGGTTCGATAGCAATCAGGGCGGCTTTGCAACGAACGCAGGCTCAGCTGTTGGTCGGATTATCGGCAGCCGTTGGCGGTTTCATTCAGGAGCGGTGCGTTTTATTTGGTCCGGGCTCCAATTGCACGCCTTCGTAACCCGAACTGGCGCGTTTGATATTTCCCAGTTCGCCTGAGGCGTCTTTCAGTGCTTCCTCTTCTTCCTCCTCCTCCCTCTCGTCGTCCTCCTCCTCCTCCTCCTCCTGCTCCCTGAATGTGGTGACGTTTACCCGGCCGGCCACCTTCGATATCTACAGCTATGGAGTTTCAGCGCCATTCGCTGCGGTTTTCGATGGGTGCGGTGATAGCCCCCTTGAGGGGAAGCGGACCTTACCCTCATCACGTCTTGTTGTGCCGTTTGCGACTGAGGGTGGCGTGGCCCCCGGACTCCCCGGCACGATATGCGAGATGGACAGCAAGCTGGCGCGTGCGTTGTCTCCCTCTCGCCTCTTCCCCCCCTCCCAAAAAAAAACAACAACAACAACAAAAAAAAGTGTTGGGAGGGGGGGGAGGAGAAGAGGGGGGAGGGAGGAACGTTGTTTGATTCCATCAGCGGCAACAAGCAGCCCGCAAATGTCACACGCGCGGCCACTAGGCGCCGCTGTGGACGCCCAGGGCCGCCCCGCGGTGCCCCGCCGCCCGGGCGGCGGGCGAACCCGACCGGACGAACGAGGAAAATCCGTTTCGGCAGCCGGGGCACTGAGGACCTCCAGAGGTACACTCAGCAGCCCCGATTGCCGCGGCGCCGCTGCGACAGTCGGGGACAGCTGCGGGCCTCCAGCGGTACGCTCAGCAATCCCACTTGCCGTGGCGCTTGGGGGCATACCCCAGGTGGAGACGGACCACCAGCCGCCACGACCCCCAGACGTGGAATTCGGGGGAACCGTAGCCCGCCCGGGGGGGCTGCGCGACCTGCGACCCCCTGGGGAAGGGGACCCCGCTTTGGGGGCCATCCCCAGGAAAGGCATTTTTTTCGCAGATCGGGCCAGTGCACCCCGCCGGCACCGTGGGGCCCCGACCCCTCCCCCTACGGGAGGGGCCCCGTAGAGGCGTGAGGAGGAGGGGAGGAGGAGGAGGAGGAGGAGGAGGAGGAGGAGGAGGAGGAGGAGGAGGAGGAGGAGGAAGTGCAGTAGGAGGAGGAGCAGCACGACAGAGAGCAGCAGCCCTTGGACGTGGACATCCGCGAGTGGTCCCAGCAGCACGGCAGAGAGCAGCACGACCCGGAGCAACACGACACAGAGCAGCAGCCCTTGGACGTGGACATCCGCGAGCGGTCCCAGAAGCACGGCAGAGAGCAGCACGACCCGGAGAAGCACGACAGAGAGCAGCAGCCCTTGGACGTTGACATCCGCGAGTGGTCCCAGAACATCGGCAGAGAGCAGCACGACCCGGAGCAGCACGACAGAGAGCATCACGACAGAGAACATCGGCAGAGAGCAGCACGACATGACCAGCAGCAGCTTTATGCTGGCAGCCGCGAGTGGGCACAGCATCGCAGAAGGCAGCACCTGCGGCAAGCTGCGCCCGTGGAGGTGGTGCAAGCCGCCCAGGGCGATCGCACACGAGGCAGGGCCCCCAGGCACGCGCACAAGCAGTGCGGAGCTTTTCTACTTGCACCACAGACGGTCCTGCGCCGCGTCTGCGAGTGGGGCCCAATCTCAGGGGGCGACAGGGCCGTCGCCGCGCCCAGCAATGGCCCCTCTCCTGATCTCGTTGGGCCCATGCATGGATTTTGGTCTGGACATCGTTTTCGTCTTCACCAGCCTGCAGTGCAACTTTCTTCTCATGAGTCTCTTGTTCGTCATCGAGCGGCCAGGCTCTTGGGCCCCCGCTGTCTTCGCCTGCCTGGCACACCCTCCCTTGGGCGAGCACGGCACCGCGCTGCAGCTCTGCGCCTTGGTCTCGGGCGATGCCGTGCCGTGGATGGCCGTGCAAGCCGGTCTCCTTGGGAGCTGGCGCGCGCCTGTCGGGATCGTCGCTCTCGCGGCTTACGCATGCGACGTGCACGTCCAGTTGCGATGGTGCAGGCTTGCTAGCGCTGGCGTGGCCTTTGCAGGAATCCCCGGTTGGGGCACAGGCGCTGGGACAGCTTGGGCGGCCGCCACGGTTGGGGCGGCGTGGTGGCGACCAGCCTTTCCAGACGCGGAGCCGCCGCCTCCGGCGCCACGCCCGGAGCCGCGGCCAGCAACCAGAGAGCTCGGGGTCACCAGCTGGGGCGTCGACGCGCTCGCCAACCGCCGGAGCTGCTACTGCCACGTGGAGTCGTGCAAGGGGCCGATACGGCCGGGAGACCTCCGGGCCTTCAGCACCACCTTCGCGCACAAACTGTACTACCACCCTGAGTGCGTGGAGGGCGGCCTAAGGCCCTACGACAACGCCGCGGGCACCGATCAGCTCACAGACGCCCAAAAGGACACTGTCCGTGACCTTTGCGA